CCTGTAAATTAGATTTGTGAGGTGGACGTACGTTGTACCTTCATGGCATATTGTATGCACCTGACATCTGGCAAAGTTTTGTTTTAGTTCTAGTCCTTCTAGGTTTATGTTTTTAATGTGTATTTGAAAATGGTTGTGTTATGTTGTACTTGGGAACTACTTATTATGGTTGTGGATATTTGTCAAATGGTTTTATGGTGTTGGACACTATTTCTATGTGTAACAACATCAGTAGTTGTTTTTTTATTACCTCTTCTAGCAATAATGCCTGCGATGATTTAAAATGGCATTTTATATTAGGATATACTGTGAAAGAGAGAATGAAATGATTAGCTCAAGAGGGTCTTCTTGACTCACTCACTAAAGTTGACTTGTCTATTTGCGAGCATTGATTGGCTAGAAAAATAACTAGAAACCATTTGGTAAAGATGTGAGAGCCACAAATACCTCTGCAGCTTATTCATTCAGACATATGTGGCCTAATGAATGTGAAAGCAAGACATGATGCATCATATTCATCACGTTCATAGATAATTTTACTCGATATGATCATGTCTATTTGATCTCACACAAGTCAGAAGTATTAGATTGCTTCTAGCGCTATATTAGATTGGTTGAGAATCAGTTAGACAGAAATTAAAGCTCTAAGAACTTACCATGATCATGAATATCTATATGAGCAATTTAAGAAATTATGTGATGAAAAATGGACAGCAAGATAGCTAACTATTCTTAGAACTCCGCAATAAAATGGTGTTGCAAAGAGGAGGAATAGAACCTTCTTGACATAGTTAGATCGATAATGGCGCAAGCTAATTTACCTATCTCTTATTGGGGAGATGCATTACTGGCTGTAGCCTATATTCTTAACCATGTGTCCTCTAAGTCTGTATCTTCCACTCCACATGAGTTATGAACTAGCGAAAAACCTGATTTAGGTAATTTGCAGCCATGGGGATCAGCAGCTTTTGTTCACCAAACTTCTCATAGGTATGGGAAGTTGGGTCCAAGAGCAAAGAAAGGTATCTTCATTAGATATCCTGAGTATTCCAAAGGATATGTTTTTATTGGTAAAGAAGCTACTGGAAATGTGACAAAAATTAAGTCACAATATGCCACCTTCCTAGAGGAGGATTTTCTTAGCAGAGCGAGGTGACTAAGACTTTCAATTTTATGAATTAAAAGTCTCAGATTTTATCACTCATAACAAATCAGTTGGTAGAATAGATGAAATTCATTATCTTCATGTGGCTAGTGGGAGCGACACATCTGGTAGCCTAACTCCAGTTGAGCGAAATCAAGTGGAACATCAACCGCATAAAAGTGCAAGAGGTAGGATCCCTCAACGTCATTTTGAGCTTGAGTGGGAGACCTTCATGATAGCTATAATGGATGATGAAGAGCCTAAAACTATTCAGGAAGCTCTTGCAAACCCCACTGCTAGGGAATGAATCAATATAATGTAGGAAGAAATGGAGTCTATGACAACAAACATGTTTAGGACTTGGTTGACCTTCCGCCTGGGCGTAAAACAATCAGGAACAAGTGGGTTCTCAAAATCACATACAAGGAAGATGAATCTATTGATAAGTATAAGGCTCGTCTTGTAGCTAAAGGTTATACTCAAAAGGAGGTAATCGATTATGAGGAAACATTCTCACCAGTTGTTAGGTTTGCCTCGATTCGTCTCATTATAGCTATTGTTGCAAATATGGATCTAGATCTCTATTTAATAGATGTAAAAATTGTATTTCTCAAGGGAGAACTAGATGAAGAGATATATAAGGAGCAACCTGATAGCTTTGTGGCCAAAGGTCAAGAGCACAAAGTTTGCAAGCTCCGTTGATCTTTCTATGGCATGAAACAAGCTTCAAAATAGTAGAACCTCAAATTTCATTAAGCCATTTTAACAGATGGGTTTATGATGATGGAGGAGGACTATTGTGTGTACATTAAGAGGTCTAGAGATAGTTTTGTGACCCTATCTTTGTATGTGGACGACATACTTTTGGATGAAAATAGAAGGGAGTTGATTGATGCCACTGAAATGTGGTTATCCTCCAAAATTTAAGATGAAGGATATGGGTGAGGCTAGTTATGTTCTTGGAGTAAAGATTGTTAGAGATCGCTCTAGAAGGCTAGTTGGTTATCTTAAGAGACTTACGTTAAGAAGATGTTTGAGCAATATCAAGTGCATAACTGCAAATCCATATATACTCCTGTGAAAAAAATTTGAGCCTAAGCTTTGATATGAATCCTAAGACTCCAGAGGAAAATGAAAAGATGTCAAGAGTTCCTTATTTCAGTGTTGTCAAAAGCCTCATGTACGCTATGATGTGTACAAAACCCGATACATGTTATGATGTTGGACTTGTCATCTGATTTCAGGAAAATCTAGGACTTGCGCATTGGAAGATGGTCAAGAGGATTTTGACATATCTAATAGGGACATCAGACTATATATTGTGTTACTATGGTAGAGATTTACGCTTAGTAGGTTACAGTAATGTTGATTGGGGAGGTGATCTAGATGAGCACAAATCAACATCAGGGTATGCTTTTCTACTCGACAATGGCGTCATATCTTGAAGCAGTAAGAAGCAACCTTGTGTTGCTTTATCTATCATGGAGGCTGAGTACATAACATGTTCTACAATAGTACAGGAAGCTATTTGGTTGAGGAGATTCATGCAGCACTTAGAGATTATCATTGATGCATCTGATCATGTGACAATCAACTGTGACAGTATGGTTGCACTTGCCTATTCCAAGGATCCCCAGTATCATGGGAAAACCAAACACATACAGCTAAGATATCACTTCATTAGAGACATGATGGCACAGAAGGAGGTGGTCTTACAACATATTTCTACAAGTCAGATGGTTACAGATCCATTTACCAAGCCTATTATTAGGAATTTATTTATTTCACATGTTAAATCCCTAGGACTGTGTAGAATATTACTGTACTTATGATTTGTAGACTACTACATGATTTGTATTATGAGATGATACATTTGTTGCACTTGTATGATTGATTAAGCTGAGTAGATATATATTCACATATATTTATGGCACAAAGTATCATTTGGCAACTAGCAAATCCTAAGAAGTATGTCGATGGGTTAAGATTGGCTCTCTCACACAAGCAATCGCCTTTTGGATCTGATGAAGCGAGCAAAGATGAGACATAGGTTAGTTATAGCGCTAAGAAAGTTAGTATAACTCAAATTTTAATGTCGCCTTGGGAAGGACCATGATGAGGTTTCTAAGAGAAAAAAGAGCCAACATGAA